CATTGTAGCCGCCACGCACAACAAACGTGTAGGCTCAGAAAGTCAATGTCCCACGTTGACTTTATCAAAAAGCTTTTCGGGCCCAAGTGCCACGATAGCTTCAAAATATTTGCAGAGGAAACCGGCTGTTTTGATAGACGACCTGGCCACTCATCCACTGCTCTCAGCAGAGATCAGACAAACTAGTCATTGCCACAACGCATGACACGAAATGAAACGAGGCGAGAAGTGTCGATTCTCTGAGGAAAGATTACAGTAATTTAGAGTTAGGGGGAAAAGTAGTGATTTTTAATCTAGGAGTTGGAGTAGGGGTTGTCTGCATTGTAATTTACTTCCTACTATTTCTGTAGCGAGTCCAGCGGTTGGAATGAGTTGGGCCTGTAAGCAGTGATCCCCACCGGTTCCACCAGTCTTGTACCTATAGTGGACCTAGAGCTTTAGCTTAGGACTTTAATATAAAAAACAAAAAAAAAAAAAACAGAATCGTACAACCTTTTACTGAATCATTACGATCGATCGTGAAACCACACCGTAGTAATTCCAACACTGATCGGTGATTGTAATCAACACAATCACAGACAGAATACTATTAACTCTTTCTCAACCTTTACGATCGATCGTGAAACCATCCCGTAGTCTATCCAACACCTTTAGCTTTATTACCTTTTAAATCTTGAGTTCTTGCTTGCCATAACTAGCGTGTCATAACAACTCAATTCGTGTAACTCTAGAAATATCTGACTTCATGCAATTGACAGTTCCCTGGCTCATAATTTATCGACTTCAGAACTTTATGTCGATTTCTCATATGTATGTCTGTCATCACAAACACTGGAAATAGATTTACCTAAAGAAAGATAAAGACGTTGTAGCCCTCTAATAGTTGGAACAAGCCTTCTACTAAATAATATTGGAATCAATCCTAGCCTCTCATTATGCAATCCCATTAACCAATTCTTAACGTCTGTGATGACAGACATACATATACAAAATCGACATAAAGCTCTTAAGTCGATAATATACAGGAGAACATCACCAAGAGGCGGACCAAGGCACCTTCCATCGTTGGTTTGTTTAAAGAGTCAGCTGCATTCTCACAGTCGAAAGTGTGGCGCGTATAATACTCTTCAATTTTCAAATCCCACACCTATCATGAATTCATATTTCTTCTGCATCAACTTGTAAACTTGCGCCAAGTTCTCTCTCGCCCGTCCCAAAGTGCCTCCGTCTAAACTTGAGAGTCACGTTTTATGTCCTCCTGCGGACATTCAAATTGTTAGAGGCGTATATTTGATAGCAAGCTGAGGCCATAGAATAAGTGGGCGAGAGATACAGTCACTTAAACGAAGATGTTTTACGTCTTACTTGTTAACTTGATAAGGATTTGGTGGGCTCTCAACGAGCAGGACCTACTGTTTAAAGTGAAAAAAATACCTCCCAGTGTCGCAACACCATTTAGGAATGTACATGAGTTTATTTATTTATAATATTTAATATCGTGCCCACGCACAGCACGTGAGTTCCTCACGTACCGGTTAGCCCAGTCTAAATTAAACTACCCGACGTGTTGGCGCCCACACAGACCCACCAAAGCAAACAATGGCTAGGATCTTGTTATCCTACGCTCGAAGATTATAGTGTACATGAAGGTCGTCCGTCCAACGAATCTCATGCTATGCAGTTGGTACCAAATCAAGAAGAGGTCTTACAAAACAAAATAAAAACTAAAAGGAGAAGATTGTTTACATCAGATCGTGATGTCGTTCGAATCAGACTGTTCGTTTTGCCATTTCGAAGAAATCTGTGACACGCACCCAATTGTTGAATGCATCAACTCCCTCCGCCGAAGCAAGTGCCCAGGATATGCTGGGATAAGAGTTCTGTGCCCTGTGGAGCTGAGCTTGGTATTGCCCGAGGTGGCACTAGAAAAAGTGGTTAGGGGACTTCTCTTCTCCACATGTGCAGGTTAGAATGGCGTTTTCATGCTGAAATGTACATGAGTTAGGAGAGAGATCACAATATATTGATAGTTAGAAAGTCACGTGGATTGGTTTAGCTTGGCGTGTCACCCTCAAGTCTGACACGCCTGTATCTAAGAAGAATAATCATCTCATCATCGAGAGACCTATTGCGTACGCGTACACGTGTGTATTACCGACCGACACCCAGTGATAATTTCTAGTGACCTCTAGATTTCAAGTGGTTCTCATGTCAGAAAACGAACTTAACATATGTAAACAATTCTTATAATCCTTGACAGCGATTTGTCTGTCAATATGTGTACATTTGAGATTGGAAACCCTTTATTGAGTGGGTGGACTAAGTGGTCGATTGAAGAGTCTACTGCACTCAAGCCATTCACACGCAGAAGACTGGAAATTTAATATTGGAAAACCTTGTATGTAACAAGTATTAGATCATGCAGTCTTGTTGGAGTGTACATCCTGCAATAGTCTTAGACTCATACTGTTGACAGGACTTAAGCACTAGTGCTGGGGAATGGAAATAGAGTGTACTGAATTGTTTATATTCTTATGATAAAACCACTTGGGGTGTTTCGAACCTCTATGAATTACATGAGACGCACAGGCCTCTATATATTAGTCAGCTATTATTGTGTGCCGAGCCTAGTAGCCTGAGGTCGCAACACCCAACCTGATTGGAACCAACATATACAGTATATAAACTGACTAATAAGAAAGTCATCGTTTACTCTACATCCCCTGTCCCGTGTTGCGTTCCAGACCGTTGGCTAGGACCTGACATATTAGTAATGCTGGAACCCGTTTCGCAAGTCGGTACTTTCACCTACGCCACCAGCCGGAACATCGACGCAGCTACTATAAAGGTTTGCGCCATGATGCTTAATGAGTCTTCTCTAAGTTTGCCTCTGCATCTGACCCACGGTAAAAGGTGCAAGGTCCCTTGAATGTTCCACTGTAAACTTCGACTAGTGCAGGATTCAAATCGATGCGTGCGATATAATTTCTGTCATGAAATGTTAGGGATCCAGGTCTATGGTTTACCAGTTTCGAAATTGCAGGGCTCAAGCCTCCATTTCGTGTTATCCACAGAATTCACTAGTCGGATAACGATACTATATGAGCCCCACATATCTCACTTGGCATCATGCTCGGGAGACCCAGAGCTTTAAAAATAATTTCATCATTTGATAAGTGACATCATTACCACTACCATGAGAACACTGGTCTCAAATGCAATTTACTATGTCAGGGATGGGGCTTTAGTTGTAACTGGTGCCCGGTAGACATAAAAAATAAATAAATAAAATAAAATGCAACTTATCAGTGACAAGTTGCTAGCCATATTGGGCTAGTCTCATCAGGAAGAATTTTAGTTGCGGGATAAAGCGAGACGAGTCATGGCGGCTCATTGACATATTTGCTTTCCGAATGAATAGTTGTGATATGACATGGACTTTCCCGACTGTGATAAGAGCTAGCCGAAGCTAAGGTGTCAAGCATTAAGGGATCCCTTGCATCATCTCACGGACAACAAGGACCACAGGGGCGTGTGGAATAATCAAGGCGTACCGGAGTCTAACCGAGCACTAACGAAAGAAGTCATTATCTACAAAGGTCTGGGGTCTGGATGGCGGCATGTCGTCCCGAGGGAACGGAGCGCCAAAGGATTACCCAACTGTGTGCGGGAGATCATCTACCTCGGAATTGGAGAAATAACCGTTTGCTACGTGCAGTACGGCAAAGATGAGAAATATAAAGATAGTTTGAAACCTTAATGTCGTGACCATGAACCCTGCAGTATCGGTTCAAAATTTGAGATCTGTTGAGGCATTACTTAAAATGGTCCACATAGAGCTCATATTTTGATGTGGACGTTCTGGTATCGTCTAACTTCTCGGAGAATTTGCAACCAGCTTTTTCCTACAATGCCCTTCTCGACCAATGCTGAAAATGAAGTCTATGCTACCTACCACTGTGTACTAATATTATCGTAAAATCGCAATTTCATTGTGATAATCCATAGCAACAAATTGCGGTAGTGATGTTTAGTCACTGACCGTGAGCGTGTAGAGGGCTGAACATGTAAATTGCCACATGATATCTACAAGTTTTTGGAGTTGTTTGGAGAGGTTGTTCATGGTATCGAGAGTTGGGGAGATCCGTTCATATACGCCAGTAGCTACACTTTATTCGTGGAAAGCTGTGAATGTGCTCGTCAATCTTTAACTATAGTGGGTAATTACTATGAGTGCTTGTTAAAACTTCGTGCGTTGATAACATATTTATGTTCCTTATGGCAATGCCAGACACAAAGAGGCCGGCATGCGTCGCGTGAGTAAGAATTTGGTCAAGTATGTTGTTCCGGGGGGCAAGGCTGATGTGATAGGCTAGAGCTTGCTGCAGATGTAACTGGTATGGATGGTTGCTAAGGCAATTGTTTCTCGATTACCCATGATCTACTAAACCTGAATAAGCCATTCCATGCGCACTGAACATGAACACGCGAGTATTAACATCCTACCCAATCACTTGCATTCGACATTAAAATCAAAGGCTCGGTATAGGGGCCAAGATCTAAAAATTCTAATTTATCTACCACAACTAATCATCAGAAGATTACCATAACACATAACACTATCTACCAACATCATCTACGAAGTGCAGTGGTGATTAAAAGATTCCAATAGAGATAACTAAGCAATGAATGCGCAACGAATACAAAATTCGCACGTCCCTAATCAAGCGTACTAAGAAATTAATTGAAGTATTTACATTTAGTCCAAGTTGATGCTTGTTTCAACTTCTGAGTGAGTTAACACAAGCTTCACTTTTAATTTCCAGTCTTTTTGCGATTAAAAAACCTCACCTCAGCACGCCAAGTTAACTTCCTTACAATTCTCTAAATTACCGTAGAGATACCGATCTTACCGATTACTCCATAGTGGTGAAAACAATTAGGCCATACACGAAACAATCGATGTACGACCCCTTTTTATCGAAATTTCTTATTCTATCATGAACAGTTTGAGTGGATCCAAGGTTTCAGTCTCGCAATTGTCTACAAATTCTCACAGTCACGAAACAATACGTTCTGTACCTTTAGATATTGATCAACTAGACTCTTCATTCAATTCCAGTCAAAAGCGTGACGAAAATCTAACCAGCTCCATGCCGCATTCTATCGGGTCTGACTCTCATCTCAGTTTACAAAATACAACTATAAATTCATTCAAAGCCCCTCCACGCTTGTCAAGTTTCAATCCAGTGAGTGGTATTAACAGAATAAGCTTGAAGCAGTTTCCATCGGAGTATGGCTCTGCCCTCACCTATTCAAATGGAAATAGTGATGGAAATAACTCACCAACTTCTGAAGACAACAATACAGTTCCGACCTCTAGCATTTCGCCATGGAACTCAGCCGTTGGTCGAGCAAGCCTTGGTGGCAAATCTGGACGCGTTATAGAAAGGTTAATGGGTGAAAACGATATGTTAAAGAGAGAATTACACATTGAAAGATTAAGAGCTGAAGAACAGAAGCAAGCTGTTAAGATGGCCGAGGGAAGAATGGAAGCATTAGCAGCAGAGTATGATGGCAAGCTTCATGAAGCTGCCGTCAATAAGACTATGTTAAAAAGAAAAGAGAGGCAGCTTGCAGACCTACGATTACAGGTTGAAGTAGAAAAATCAAAAGCTACAGTAGCAATAGAGAGCGAGAGGATATGGAAAGAGCAAATTCAAAAAGTTGAGGAAGAATCAAAACAACACGTCGAAGATGCCTTTAACTATGCTGCTATGATGGATGCAAGGAATGCCGCGATGACCAACCATTGGAAGGAACAGGGAAATGAAGTAAATCGTGCCGTTGCAAAACTTTCTAAAGAAATTGAGGAAATAAACCTGGAGCGAAAACAGGACGATAAGCGCCTAAATACACTGCAAGGCCTATGTGATCAACAGGCTACACTACTAGAAGAGCTTTTAGAGAAACGTAACGCCATCGTCCTGAAGCATAAAGAATACAAGTGTAGCCAAGAAGAGTCCTTGCGAGATATCAAAACATCCGCCCTCCAAGTTGAGGAAAAAAGTGAATTGCTATTGGCGGAAACTCAAAAGGTTCTTGGGGAGCTAAAGTGGGCGCTAAGTCTCAAGAAAAATGAACGAACACCCTGAAAAGCGTCGATGAGCTAGGCTGATAGTACTAGCTCAAAAGCCACAATACAACAAAAAGTTGTAAGCTCAGTCAAACAACAAAATCAGGCCACTCATCAAATTATTTGAATGCATACTAATGAAATCTGTTAACCGAAGCTATGAAAGGTCTATAGCAATCGATTGTGAACAAGGTGCACAATTCTGTTCTCGGACACTGATATTGGACCCAAATTCAAATTTTTTATATTCAACAATCCGTTCATCAATACATTGAGGTAAAGTTAGGAGCATGAGCATTTAAAAATGGCTAAATACAGGAGTTAGTTATCTATTTCACCACAACCTAGGCCTTTGATTAAGATTTTTTCTTTACAGGGCGTAGAACAGGATTCGGATGATGACCTAGAGCCGAGTAAAGAAATGAGACTATGATATGATAAAATTTACTGATTACGGTAAAACAGTATCGCACAGAGAATGCACAAGATACAGTTATTCTCATGAGACAAATGAGGCAAATCCGTTCAGATGATTGATGTAATTAATTTTTTTTGATATGGGATGGAATGTTAACATAACTGTAAAAATTCAGGAATATGGGGTTTCCTCTATATCGGCAGGTCATACATCAATATCCAGCTAGATATTACGAATACACCTTTTGCCAACTTTGAGGTCTTCGACCTCCAACCCATTCGGATTATAAAGAAATATGCATTTATCAACGGCCCAAATACTTGTGGTAGTAATAAATCAATTGAGACAAAGTAAAGATTAGCATGCAAACATCTAAGATCAACGTGATGTTTGTAATATATTTTATGATCAAAATCAATCTCCTAGAGCCAGGGTCTGCAACAACTTTGGAAATCTTAGAAATTGTCTCAATCCTCTGAATCCGCGAATGCGAGCTAAACTCAGGGACCACTTTAATGTATTCAACCTTATCTTATTTATGCGTAAATATAATTACTGATTACATTCTCTAAACTCCTTTCTAAAGTAGGCTGCATGTCCCATTTTCACAGTATATATCCGACGGCGAGATCTTTTCCGCACCAAGAAAAAAATTTGCTTTCAATTGGCTCGGTTCTCCATCGATGGATAGATATAGCGGTGTTAGTTTATTTCTAAGGTACTGTGAGAAATGAACGAGATAGGATGTCAAAAATTTCAGTAGTGATACACAGCCCCACCAAAATTTTCCATTGCACGTGCAATTTCCATGAGATTTGCTCATTCATCAGTGAATAAACTAAGCTCATACGCTTACTTTTGAAGTTGCTAATACTCCTACGCCCATCTTTTTAATGTAATACTCGGTATCCAGCCATTGAGTAAGTTTCGTCATTCAACTATCTTATCGACCTTATCAGAACATAGGGTTCTACTAAGTCCTTATACCACTGGTTGAATACTACACCCAAACAAAGGAAACTGGCAACTTCCATACCTATTGCCATCAATCCTTCTATCTATACTTCTGGTGATGACTGTTGTAAACAGTGTAAAATCAAACCATCACCATAGCATGTCTTCAGACAGTTCTATTTTTCAATCATATAAATCTGACGCTCGGTCATCTATTGCTGGATCCTTAAATACCGTCTCTAGGCATCGAATTCTGTTTGCTAGTGAGTATTACTATCAACCCGAAGCCGTCGCTAGTATTCAGGAAAAGTTGGAAGATAAAAAAAAAATACAAGGAATTGTATGTCTTTTTCTCTAAGGAGTTATTAATCAATATAACCTGCTCTAAAATAGAACTCACATGTTTTTTAGACTGCAACTTTTAGATACGATCCCCAAACACTCATGTTTTCTGCCTGTTGTATTCCTAAGGACTCAAAGGCAGTTTGGGAAATACTCTACTCGACTCTGACGGTATTGATTAAGGATGAATGTTTGAAAAGTAATAAGCCCTGTAAAAATGATGTTAGCGACACAAGTGATGATAGTGAGAGTTCGGATATTGATGAAGACCTTGTGGTAATTTTCTCTTAAGAGTCCAATCTATATAGCTAATTTTTATATAGCTCAAGAGCGATAAGATAGAGCGCCTAGACATCTGGAAAGAAAGGAACCTGGAACAAAGTTTTATGTCACCTAGTATTCATCGTAAATATGCATACTCAAAGGTATACACTTTGAGTGATAAAACTCGTGATATTAACGATGTTTTTACGGACGCTACAGTTATAGAAATTATGCAGCTTACAGATAGCCTCCTTGTCAAAGAGATAAAACGAAATTGTATCTATATTGGATGCAACCTAGAGAGAGAATTACTCCGGATCTTTTCGAAATTAGAAAATATCGAAAAGAATACAGTAAGTTTGGAATATAAGCTATTATTAACCAATACCAATAATAACTAGGTTTACCCTGGAACTTTCATTAACCATACTTTTTACATGGAATCTGAAGCTAACATAAGGATCGCATTTATTGAATTTTTAAATTCCAAGAATCAGTTATTCAAGACTACTTTAGTCAGTAATCAGAGTTTCAAATCGAAACAACAATTAAACAATGAAAAATTTCTAGAGAATGCCATCACAGTTCGGTATGCACCATTTGATGCTCATGATACATCTTACAAAATTAAATGGAAACTTCATAATATACGAAATCCAACCCAAAGCGAAAACTGTGAGCTAGGTGATTTTACAATATCAAACTATCGTGCAACAAATCCAAAAAATATGTGTACCAGTAGAAATAAACCTTCTGACAAAGTCTTATATTCATCACCTACAATTCGGAGCTACATTCAAACAAACAATATTTCCGGAAAAAAATATGATGGGAATCAGAATATTACGACTTGGGCTGAAAGCATTCACAACTCATCCCCATCAAGAGATCAATCAAAATATTTTGTTGGTGAGCACCGTGAGTCTCGGGCTTATAGAGCATTTTGGAATGTAACTGAGAACGATAATCATTAGGAGGCCACCCATTTAAAGAAAGATCCTGGGATCACTACCATGAATTAGAACCAAGGTCTTTTCAAAATTTTACTTTTAATTTAACTAACATTCCCCTCGTCAAATCCGAGGAGCAGACTTTCAAAAAGAAACAAGGCTTCGATTTAAAAAGAAGTGAAGTCTCTAGTTCCAAGTATTTCGGATCTTTACAGTCGCCTAATTCTACTCAAGACTTATTATCTGGACAACAGAAACGGTGGATACTTAATGAACAGCCATTCAACCAAGTCGACTACAGCTCGATTTTAGGTTATAATGGCACTGAGTCTAAAATATCTCAATCGTGCTCAAAGATTCCTGTCATTTCTCTCTTAGGATCTCAATCTTGCTTACCAAAGAGTAACTTAGCTATATCAAATACCAGCTTACCTCGCCTTGAACGCACAATATCAAATCCCTTGAACGAGGAAATTAAAGACTTCCACTCTGATATACTAATACCTATGAAGAAGGATTACGAGCCAAGCGCAAGTGACAACACCAAAATCGATGATGTAGCGAGTAAGACGCCATCTCTTACGAATATTAGCAATGTTGATCTCTTAGCCATAGAGATTTGCAACCTGGCTGGACAGAATAATGATCAAACTCCTAAAGCTTCATCACCAGTAATTCAAGAGGCCACAAAAGGAAGACCGAGAATTAATGACGGAAAGAAAATTTATGCATCTAGCAAGAAAAAATATCGGATAATTTCAACACAAAAGGACAGTCCCCAGCAAATTAAAAATTCTAAACTTGGTTTGGGACCGTTAAAATTTTTAAAAACCTCCCACGTTGAACTCCTGGCTAGATCATTTACTACGCAGTCTAAAACAATGGATGATTTCCAAGAAGAGCTTTGCTCCACTTTCAGATCGATGATGGGCAGGCTTAGAGCATATCGTGGAAACCTGACGGTAATGATTAATTTTGGTCGTATAATGATATCCAAACTACACGATAATTTTATTGCAAAGAGAAACATTAATGAGAAAATATTTCATGTCGATGAAGCCCGAAAGGTTTTGAGAGATTTAGAGTTTAATTCCAACTCACGATTTACGAATATCCTAACTTCTTCAACTAGTGATATAAAAAATATTATCTCGATGAAACATGATGATGGACAGGAGTATTGGGATACTAAGAAAATTGATAGTTCATTAGTATACCAACTTCATTTTCTTGACTCGAGTGATAGCTTGAATGAAAATTTTTTCGTCGAAATTGATGCAGAAACATTTACGATTCAGGTTAAGTCTATCTCTGACTTGGGTACAATCTATGTTCACGGAGTCAAAAGATTTTGGGACTTTTGTATATCGGCCCTTGGAGATAAAAAAGACTCTAGCCTTGAAATTTTACATCGAGAACTGGTGGAAATGATTTCCGACTCTTTATTTATTCCGTATGGAAAACAAAACTCTCAATCTAATTGAACGTGGCTAATGATGTATGTAGGAATCCTTGCTATAGGCCAGATATCACGTGTGAAATTAAAGGGTCATTAAAATTCCGCTACTCACTAGAGGAAGTCAACGTACGTCATGTCGTTCGTTACCCAAGCAAAGATAACAATTCAATACTCCAAATTGTGGAGGTTCGATGTCTTGATGTATCATTACGAGATTCCCCTCAAACGGAATCAGTTATTTACCATGCAGTATCTTCTAATACGAAACGTGAAAACAATGACCAAAGTCTTGGTTTATGGTTTGAGGTTTCAATTGGCTGTAGAGAACTAAACGATTATCTGTCTCAAAACCAAAAACTAGAGCTTGGAGATTTAGTTAATTGGACACCAGAAAGCTTGGATTTGCTTTCATTAGACCAGTACATGTTTATCCCTGCATGTAAAATATTAGAAAAACTTGACGGGGTTGGAAGCCTTAATGACAATAACTACAACAACAAAAGATTGAACTTGACTAGGCAAGATAATCTACTGCTGGCTGAGCCAGCTTCTTACTGGTAGCATATTAGAACTGGTTAGACATCAATAGATATAAAAGGTGTCCGATCTCAACACAGACCGCTTTATAAAAAATATCGAAATACTCCAGCGTATTACTGAAACAGTTGAATTCAAAACACTCTAGGAAAAAAAGGTAACTTTTCCTATTTTATTCCCAAATAAGGCTTGTGTTTATTAGTCTATTTGAATACTATCCAGCTAATTGGGACGTATACAGACTAGTAATTACGAAAAAGCTGATTTAACGAATGTGATTAATCACCAAGATTAAATGTCATCGTGACTGCAACTAGGAAAACATACTCGTATCTGAGTATCATATTTTTCTGCCTATACTAGCCCAATATGGAAAATGTATAAATTTTCTGATAGTGAGCTTGTCGCTGCTATTAAAACCCTGTTAGACTTCCAAGCAGATGTCAGGATATCAGGTTAAAACTGCTCCACACGCCATTCAAAAAGCATAAAAGCTTGGAGTTAGAGAATGATCTGAAGGGGTTTTCTAAGTTATGATCTCTGGACAAAAGCTCGAGGTGTCATCACTATCAATATTTTATAAACGGGAAAATTAGTAAATTGTTCGTGGCGGCTATCACACTAAAATGTTAAGAGGGCTTGCGCAAGAATTAGGGTATCTGTGCTACATGTATGAAGCAGAGGGTTTGATTCGATATATCCGTTTTGATCGACATAAGGTGTTTTGCCCCATTGATCCCTTTTTTGAGTCTCATTATGAGCTTAGCATTTTCTCCGCCTTTCTGATGCACAAAATGATTAAACATACTTGATAATTTCGTGAAGAAGCTTTATGTAGTTCATTCATTGTTCTAGTTTAACGTCCTATGCGGTATCTACATACAGAAGCATGAAGACGGTAAGCCATGTTAAGAAGAGAAAAAGCTTTCAACAAACAAAACCCGATGTCCTGCCACTCTGAACCGACCCGGCTTAATGCTGAGGACGTTCCTTTCAGCCATAATTTTTTAAACTTTCCCCAGAATTCGTTAAATCCCCCTTCCATCAGACTAACGTTATGAAAATTTGAAAAGAGAAGGCACCTCCTCACTCGGCATTGGTCTTCGAAGAGTTCGAAGAGTTGGCCCCGATGGTACTGCTGTCGAGGCGAGGGTTGGTGCCCCTGGGGCTTCGACTACCTTACGTGGTCGTCCCGGCCCTCTTTTGAGTCTTTCAGCCTTCTTACTGGTGATCAAAGTGAATCCTTGATCATCAGTCGTTCCGACTGTTTGCATTGGTGCCATGGTAGGTTTTTCATTCCAAATATCTGCCGTTCTCGATAACAGCTCCATCTGAGCCTTCTCCACACTTCCCTTGTAGACCTGGTAGGTCCGACACGCTGCTTTCTACCGCGAACGATACTCCTTGCCGCAGTTTGCAAAAGAAACCCTTTTCCTCGGACAATCCCGAGTTTGGTGAGCGCCTGCGCACTCACCGCACCTAGCTGCCTTTCCACACGACGTCTGCGTGTGTCCCCACTGACTGCAGTTGTAACGCTGCTTTGGCTGAGACCGTGGTGACCACACCTGCGCGGTGTAGAGCATGGCGTTCATGACAAGGCCGTTTCGGACCACTTCTGTCTGCATTGCCTCCGATGGGAGGCTTACCACAATTGATCCACGAGTGCAGCCATTTTTCTTTGAACGCTGGTGTTCCTTTCCGTCGTGGAACCACCTTATACGACTTATGACTAAGCCTGGAATCCGTGCCTTCGTAGCCGTCTCTATCTCCCTGATGATGGCAAAATTGTTGGCATCTTTGCCAAAAATTTTGAAATCCGTTGGTTGTAGCATATTTAGTGCCGCGTCTCTCTGGGACGCCGACTGAACGAATACCTCGGTATCGTTGCTCCGCATTTGAAGAATTGCGTATGCACCTTGTATGTGCTCTTTTGCCTTTGAAAGCAGCTCTTGTGGCTGCAAGTTTTGAGCGCCGTCGATTCTTATTCGTACCGCTGTTTTTGTCATTTGGGGAGCCACGACCGACGCGTAACTCCTTGCTGTCGGCGCGCCCGAAACTGCTGCTGGAGCAGCTTTCCGAGCGGGATCTGCGAGGCTTTTCTTTACGACTTCCTCTAAAGCCATCATCCTCTCCTCGATAGGAGACTTCTTCTGGGACATTTCCGTCCAGGCCCTTTTGTGCGCGTTGAAGGCTTTGACGGCCTCGTTCACGTCCTCCATTGAGGGTAGGTCCTCCTCATCCATCTCTCCAATCACGATTAGTCTAACCTGTTTTAGTATTTTCCCCAGGATTTCGAGGTTTCTATCCTTTGGAGCTATCTGCGCTCCGCTGCCGTTGTTGTTTGAGGCCATTGTCGCATTTTGCGACGCGTCGAAACCGCTGGATTTACCCACACCAGTACCCACACTCGCCCTGTTGGAGCACGGAAAGCGAAACGATGAAAGGAGGGTAATGAAGATGTAATAATGATGATTACGATGACAGATTGAAGATACGGGTAGCGTGGAAGGCTGCGCAGCTTTCTGGCAAAAATGATGATTTTTTGCTTTATGTAGTTATTAACACTGTTGTGAATTTTTTTTGCATCAGATTTTATTTGCGTATGCAGCTATCTAGCTATGACACAATATCAAAGAAAAGTACAGAGTAGATGATTCAACGTAAAGGAAGAGCACTCATGCCTCGGATTTCATTTGCAAGTACCTGTTACGGTTTGACCGCTGTTTGAGCTTAGGTGAATAGCTAAGCATATTGTTGAGAATATTTACGACAAAGCTGCATGGGGAGGGATAGATGAAGCTAAATAAGACGGCACTACTAGTCAGGAGGTCGAAGCGTTACTAAAATTAAATAACACCTGTAAATGCGTGGCTGGGTAGCAAGTATTGTGCCTAAGGATAAGTCATCCGTCTGGAGATTGACGAAGGGGACCAATTCTTGTTAATACCTGTTAGTCGTAGCCAGAGTTATCCTATCTCCTCATATAGTTTAATAAATCGATTAATTCATCACCAACTCGGTTTCTGTCTCAGTACCACTGCGAAGTTATTGCGGCTTTTTCTTCACCCCAAGTCAACCCTCATCCGTGAATACCCACCCAGGGGAACGTCTCAAAAACCCTGAGTTATCCAGACATGCCTCCATCACCCATTAACTTTTCTCCGCGCGAAATGTGGTCTGAGGCGTCTCCTTCCCAAGTGGAGTAGGTGCCCAGGCTACTCAAACTATACCGGAGAACACAGCCCATAACACTCTGTCTATGCACAACTACATGTAACTCTTAATTCACCTGTCACTAGATTCCACATTTAATGAATTGAAATAGCTCGGGAGATTGGAAGAGTTACATACCAGCCTCGAGGTTGATTAAGAGATATGATAAACGTATTTACTATACGAAGAAGTTTACTGATATTTAATGGATAGTTAATTGTGATTAAATTGCTAATATTCTATTTGTGTGGCAAGAAGACCCTCTATATACAGTAAGACCACCGTTAAGCCGATATTACTGTTTATGCGATATGTTTTCCGGAATGGACTTCTTTCCCATACATTTACCGATTACTCGATTATCGTTCTTCAACCTCTGAGAATCGTCTTTATTGCAAGGCTACGCTGAGCTGGAATGACGTACCGTTAGGATGAAGGTACGGAAGGAATAGCTATGGCTTTAAGAGAAGTGAAGTTCGTGAGTTACACTCTTAGGACTTGGATCAATGGACGCACTTGAGGATATTCCCTAGTAATCTCAAGTGTGTGAATAATATGGAGATTGTTTTAATCCTCTGTTGTATGAATTGCTTAATTTATTTACGTGACAGGACCTTCTTCTATAAACATAAATAAGGGGGTTCTGCACACTAGTGGATGTTCCAACATATGTTCTTGTCCAACCGAGAAAGGAAGGATGTGAGAGATCCTAGCGTCAATAGATACCATTAGGAATCTATTGGGAAACACTATGTCATACCAATGAGTGATGATCTAGGTCAATCATATCCCATGGCGCATGTGCACATTATTCTAATGTGAACAGTTTATTATAATGCAGTCATCTTAATCCCTTAATTACAACAGTCTTCACCAGGTTTTTTTGGTAGATAGGTGCTACTAATACCGCCAAAAAAGTGAATTTCTGTAGTGCAACGACTTGCTCTGCGACGATGGGCGCACCGCCAGGTCCCAAAACCAACTCAAAATTAGTGCATTGAGTGGTTCTTCGCTGAGTATGGCCATCGATTAAGCCATTCTACAGTCTCCGGGACCATGAGCAAGACCTTTGCAAAACTCGACGAAGCTACAAGTACTACTGCGTAACGACAGCGAGCTGGAAACTGGCCTGATCTTGAGAGTATTCTCCTGGCATGGTAAATACGAGTTGAACAAGGAGGGATCACAACTGGCGATTTGCTCCGTGAGAAGGCAAGGTAGATCTGGACACAATTACCATAGCCCGCTAGCCAACTGTGCCCTCAATTCAGCGCTCGCTGGCTTGAGAATTTCAAGAAACGAAATCATATTCAGAACCGGGTACGACACGTTGAAGTTGGTTCAATTCCAGCGGCTGCCGAAGCCGAAATCAAAGCTTTACAAACAATTGCAGGAGAGTTTGAGGAAGAAAACATATATAATATGGAAGAGTCAGGTCTCTTTTGGAAAATGCTACCTTCACGTGGGCTATTGTCATAATCTCGACCCGGGCTCAAGAAAAACAAGAACCGAGTTTCTCTCTGTTTTTGTACAAATGCTACAGGTTCTGACTGACTTCATATTTGGATTATTGGCAAATATAAGACGCCTCGGGCTTTGAAAAACGTCGGTATTCAGACAATGGGTGGCAAGTGGAGGTGCAATTCCAAAGCACGAATGAACACAGCAATCATGGGCGAATGGCTTCAAGAATTCTATCGCCACATTGGAAATGCCCGTAATGTACTCTTGACAATGGATAATTTTTCTGCTCATTATTCTGCCATTGAATTATACCCTCCTCCGTCAAACGTCAAGATCTGTTGGCTTCC